GCTGTAATGTCTTGAACTGTAGTTTGTCATTTGTCTTAGTCATAATTGCATGACTGTTTTTTAATACAATTTGGCAGTGGTATTACTTTTTTTAAGAGACGGCATTACACGTGCTTTTACTCCTTGTTTGTTCTTGGTGAGTTACATGTGGTCAATCTTTATAGGTGGCATTTCAGGGTTTCTTTAAGAGGAGGAAATTAATTTACAGCCATTAGGTGTATTAACCGATAATTAAGACATTCCACTGTTTTATACAGCCTATCTCCTAACAAAAGGGGTTTTTTGCAATCTTTTTTTCATCTTGTATTTGAAAAGAAAGCTGCTCTTAGCTTTTTTTCAAATTCTTATTGACCTTTCTTCCCCCAGGCCTGTCCTAGGTCTCTGGCTGCTGCCCTAACATTCTTCTCCCAGCGTTACAGCCAGTCACAGCTCCCGCTCATGTGCCCCGTTGCTGCCTGTTCCTTCTTTAAATAGTTCATGCCCTTGCCCTGCAGCCCTGGGATCGCCTGGTTCCCCTCTGATCTCAGGCCCTTCAGCAAGACTGGAAGCCATCATAGAAGCCCCATCGGTAACTGTGGGGCAAAATACCATGTAGGTCTGTCTGAAAACAAAGAAACAGCACCAAGAGCTAACACACAAGTAGAAACCATTTTGTATCAAGGACTGACTGAAATGTGGAAGTTGTGAAGAGACTGGGGAAAAAGGTGAATCGTCCTTCCTGAACTGGCGAAGAGAAGGGAACAAGATGAGTAGTCCTTCCTGTGCTAGTTTTTAACATTCGTTGGTTTTTTTCCAGATCACTGCTTTCCTTCTCTCTGGGGGCAGATGGAAACCTCCTTGTCAGAAATTAAAAAATAGATCTGCACTGGGTTTATAGTCATGACAAGGCTATGTTGAAGCTGCTTTAAAAACCACAAAAAGCTTAGTAAATCAGTGAGTAATTAGCTGTGTCCTTTCATAAGTGCAAAGGATGACTGAAGTGTCTTGGTGTGCTCAAAAGAGGCAAAGATGACTGAAGTGTCTTGGTGTGCTCAAAAGAGGCAGCAGGACCCAGAGGCAGCTCCTGTTGCAATGATCCCCACAAAGCAGAGAAGAGATGGGAGGTCCCAGGGCTGGAGGCGCTGATGGTCCTGTGCAAGCAGGCTGCTCTGACAGCTCCAAGCAAGGGCAGATACTCACCAGTATGGCTCTTCTCAGTGGAGTGGTGATTAATGCACAATTATGGTTTCCAGTAAAGCGACTGTAAAGGTTAATACATACAGGAGTGCCTTTAAAGGTCTTGAGTTGTTGAACCTTCATCCTTAAGATACATTCAAAACTGCTGTACCTGGCCTTGAACAACCTGATTTAAGCAGGGTTTTGGACCAGATGTCCCTTCCAAACCTTGCTGTCCTGTGGGTCGGCCACTTTGCCAATACCTTTAGCTCCTAGCCACCAGATTCAAGATCATGGAAAAGCAGACCACATTAACAACTAAATACTGACCAGGTCAGATAAAGACAGCTGATGCATCTGTAGGAAGCTACTTGTGAGTCTGGAGGTGAGATGCAAGTTATAACAAGGGTGGTGGGGGAAAAAAACTAACAGTGAAACTATTCCCAAGCAATACTTTTCCTTTATAAAGAGAGGCAAATAAATACTTGTTGCTGAAAATAAACAGGAAATAAAAAAGAAACAGCTTGCTGTTGGAAATGTCTACTTTTGGCTTTGAGACAGCCAACATTAGGGATAGCAAGTTATTAAATTAGGAAAAATTTCTCTGCCGAAAGAGTGGTCAGACATTGGAACAGGCTGCTCAGGGAGATGGTGGCGTCACCGTCCCTGGAGGTGTTTAAAAAACGTGTAGCTGTGGCACTTCGAGATATGGTTTAGCAGGCATGGTGGTGTTGGGCGGATGGCTGGACTTGATGATCTTAGAGGTCTTTTCCAACCTATGATTCTATGATTCTAAGTGGATGGACTTAGCATCCAGAAAAGCTGCTGAAAAGGGACCTTGAGCAACCAGAGCAGGCTCTGGGGCCAATAACCCAAATGATACTTCAAATTTTTGAGGAACCTGAAACAAGAAAATGCCCTAAGGGTTTTTCTTTTGCCTGCTACTAGGAGAGAAGCTGGGTTATTTTAGAAATCAGTGCAGAGGCTGCGAGGTCTATCACACACCCAGGAAGATGTAAACTGTAAGTCTGAGGGTGTCTTCCTGGTTAGAGACCATAAGTGTGGTTGTTTAAGGGATTAATACAGCTCCACGTGGCAGCAGCTGTCCTGCAAGAATTACCAAAAGAGGCAACAAACCTCCCTTCCTAGAGCTGGTTTCTTCCTGCAAATCTCCAGGCTTCTCCCTTTGAACTGGGCAGGAGTTTTGACACTGAAGCATTTAGGTGCCATTGGGTGAGCATCCTGTGAGCATTTGATTAGAACAGTGCAGGTCTCATTAGATTGACTTGTTTTACCACGCTTTCTAGCGCAGGAGAAAAGAGAAAATAATTAGAAGTAAACTCTTGTGTTGCTGTTTCAAACATTCTGACCCAGCATCATTTTGACAGTCTCTAACAATGGCATAAATGAGCTGAGTAATGTAACCAAGCATCTAGAAAAGCCTTATTCCAGAAAACAAGGCTGGTAAATCACATGATGCCCCATGAGATGGGGTATTTTGCCAAATTACTGCTTCAGAGGAAGTGAGAACACTTTCAGTAACCAGGATGTTGCTTCACCAGTTTCAGGCATTCAGGGTTCTCACTGCCAAGAACAACCCCTTCTTTCCCACCTCCTACCTCACTACTTCAATTTTCAGTTGGTGGTAACTACCAAAGGCTGGTAGTTACCTCTCTTTGCTGCCAGCGGAGTCTATTTCTTCCCTTTAAAGGGCTTAAAAAACACTCACAGGAAAGTGGGAAGGCTTCAGTACCTTTTTTAACCAGCAGCAGACAATCCTGTAGAGTCAAATGCACGACTCAAGAGCCAAATAAGAGTAAAATATCATCAGTACAACTCTTCAGTCTGTGTTGAGTTTAAATTATTGCTGATCTCCCACCCTAGTATACAATACACAGCTTTGTACCATGTGAGATGCAAGACTGAAACACCAGTGAACTCAATAAAGAGATTTTTTTTTGGCATGGCAATACAACACAGAGCCTTTTGCATTTTGCCTCTAGGACTGGTGTTCAAAACGGCTGGACGGGCCCCTGAGAAGACGTGCCTTTTTCACGTACTGGTGACCGGGTTGCATAGATAACCTGAGTTCGTTCACCTCTATTTAGATACCGACACGTGTGCTGTCTCACAAAAACTGCTTGGTCCACCTCTGACATTCAAATACTCAACACATGCATTGGAGATTTGTGTGTTTGAAGTAAGTGATGACCACCTACAACAAGCCAAAGGCAGATCAACCTGCTTGTGCTAATTCTAAAGATTTAAAGACGTGATTTTGTCCTCCTTACCATGCACACAGCTTTGTCATATAATTCATTATACGATTCAGTACTGTTAAATATACTCATAACCATGACCACTTGGGTCAGATCAACACTGAAGTACTATTTTACAGCATATAACAGTTCTTATACATTAACGCAGCTAAAAAATGTGACTTTTTCCACTGGGAAGGATTTATTTTATTGAGAACTTCCTATAAATGTCATATTCTGTTTCTTCATGACTGTTTAAGCCTTGTTTTCCAGCTGCTGCCTTCTATGAAATGAGGCTAATAACAGCAGCAGTAACAGCTGGACAATAAATTTCTTAACAACTGTAAAATGCTCTGGTATGAACAGAAGAGGATTTCTCCTCAGTGTTTCTAGGTTGAGGAAGTTCTTCCTTGAAAGCAGCTGACTTCGGCTGCCTGAAAATTTTATGTTCTTCCTCTCCCTGTCCCCTGCTGCTACCATGAAATTTCTTAATTTTAACCCTGAAAAACAGAATTTTGAGTACAGGGAGCCCTCAGGCACACATTTTGTAGGTCTTTTCAATGGCAGGGTGAACACGATCCAACAAAAAAACAACAAAGACCATCATTGCAACAAGGAACCCGGCCCCGTCATGAGCTGCCAGGGGCATTTTGACCGCCCTTTGGTTACCACCCTGCCAGTGCTTATAGATGCCCATGGTTACCAGTCACTGTCCTTAGAGTGGTCTCATCCAGTGTCCAAAAGTCTGAGAAAGAGGGCTTCATCTTGGCTGTTCAGGACACCATGAGGTTATTTAGAAGTTGACTGGCCATGCAGACGTGTTTCCAAACATCTAGAAGTCAGATCTGATTTCTTTACATTTAAATATAATCCAAGGAAAATGAGGTACCATTTTCACGAAATCAGTATTTGATAAGAAAAACAAATGGAAAAGAAAGACCTCAGACAAGAAATGCAGAAATTAATATATATGCATCCTTAAACTGCATTACGCCATCCAATCCTGACTCATGTCCATAGCTCAAAGTTTATACCCGTAGATGCTGCATTAAAACCAATTAGCCATCAGCTGTTTGAGGTCCTGTGCTTCCACTGCTCCACTCCAGCCATTCCCTTTTAGCAGCTGCTGCTTTTCCATCTGATGAATGTGTGATTTCAGCTGAGCGAGAAGCGGCACGGGGCACGTTCAAACAGCCTCCCCCGTGGGGATCACCCCATCAGGATAGCTGCATCAGGGCTGGGAGCTGTGGAAAGGAAATAACCCCCTCTGTCCCTTGTGCACATCTCTGGTATGGTTTATATCGCTCCGGCAAAAAACATCCCTGCTGAAGCACTGGACACACACCATAGATCAGCGGAGCCTGGCAACTGTAGGACAAGCTGTGGCTGGTGATGAGCGTCCAAGAGATGGAGCCACAAATGCTGGGGGTTTTGCTCGGAGGTCTTCCTGGTGGGCTTCAGTGGTGACCAGCCAGGTGTTTTTAGCCTGGCATGTGCTAGCAGCAGGTCTGCTCATTTTCAGGGGCACCTGGAGGCGGGGATGCTCTGTGGCAAACCTCCAGGCAGCGATGAGCAGGAAGGGTCTGCTCAGGTTTGCCCAGGGGCTTGCCTCCTCCCCACTGGCCCTGCGAGGGGCTGCTCTTGGGACGGGAAGCCATGCTCCAGACCCCGCAGTAGCTCTCCCAGGGCAGCCAGGGCTTCCTGCAGGCCCTGTCCGGTAGGACGGGGATGCCGGCCATGCTGGGGTGGCTCAGCGCTTCCTCCAGTGCCGCTGCTGCTTCAGGCAGCCGGGCCACGTCTGCGCTGTCGAGCACGAAGATGAGGGTGTTGGTGTCCTCCAGGTAGTGAGGCCAGCTTGCCCGCAGGCTGCCTTGTCCGCCGACGTCCCAGAGGGTGAAGGATATGCGGCAGGGTGTTTGCAGAGATTCCACGTTGAAGCCCACTGTTGGGCAGGTCTCCACAGCCCGGCCGCTCTTCAGTTTGTACAGAAGGGTGGATTTGCCAGCGAAGTCAAGCCCCAGCATGACAACTCGAGCATCTCTTTTGTGCCGGCCTTTGGAGATCAGCTTCCCCATCAAGATGCTGTCGCAACCGCGGCAAAAAAATTGCAGCCAAAAAAAGAAAGCAAGCGTATTTCCTCGATAATGCCAGTTAATAACAGAGCGCTCGGTTCTGCCTCTGCAACACAGCACCTTAGGTTAGCTGAAGAAAGACGCAGGCAGCTTGCTTTTGCTTCTCTTCGTAGCTAAAATGAGGTGAGAGCTATTATTTATGAGGTGTGGAGCAGAGCCAGGGATTGCCGCTGGAAACAACAATTTCTATATCCCAGCTCCGCTGCCGCTAACTTCCATTTTCATTCATGACCTCAAGTGATCGGTGCAAAAGAGAGCCAACATTTTGCAGGAAGAGGTGGGGAGATGGTGGAGCAAGCTTCCTCCTCATCGCATACAGAAATAAATGAGCTTTTGTTCATTGGCTTCTCTAGGGGAAATCCACCCCCAGCAGGACAGTACAAGGAGGAACCCGGGTTTCAGACCAGAGTTACTCTGGGAATTTGCTGAATCACAGCTCAAGGGTGTGGATTTAAACATGAGCAACAAGACAACTGACAATTTCTCTGCCAGTCTTAAAGCAGAAGGTACAAAACCAAGCTCTCTAGCATCAGATTTCACTACCTGTTACGCAGGTGGTAATGACATCGATTTTTAAAAATGCACACAAGCATAGTTTTTTACTGTCTCATTGAAATACGGCCGGTCAAAACACCTTCCCTGGGGTGAAAATCTATAAAATTCTTTACATCAAGGTATTTAATAAATTTTAACTTTTGTAAGTAAAACAAAGTCAGCCCTCTGTGGCTGAGAGGGTAAAAAAATCCCGGAAAAGAAGGGAAAAATGTTTAGCGAGACAGCACCACTTGAATTTTACATGCTCGAGGCAAAAATCTGCTGCTGAAAGAGAGCTGCTTGTGCAAGAGCAGCTGAGCCAGGCAGAGGCCCAGCAAAGCCAGTATTTACCTTCTTTATTGGTTGGGGTTTGCTCCTGAAAGGCTGCTCAGAGGCGTGCAGAACTGAAAGCAGCTATAAACCTCACCTCGCGGTGTTAACACAGAGCTGCTCTCCAGCCACCTTTATTTGAGGATGAAGAAGGAAATGTGATTCATCTGTGCTTCCCTGGGACCACAGGGGACTTCCATGTATCAGTGGGAGATGCGGTTTCCCCAGCGATGATCTCCGCATGATGCCTCCATGTCGCAAGGCACCATTGCTGGGGATGAAATTCAGCGCAGGACGTGGAAAGGACTGTCTGGTCAGTGACCAGGTCACTGGTGGCCAACCAGAGACATATTTCTTGCCCTGGGGGCAAGATGTGTCAGCTTTCCATCTTTTAAAGAAAGGAAGATGAATAAGAAACAAAACAAAACAAGGATTCCAGCCCAGATAGGGTCCTACAGACCACATTTTGCAAGATATTTCTGTGATACATGTCTCTCCCACAGTTAGCCCACAGGGCTGGTCGACACCAAGAGCCTCCAAGAGGTCTGTGCATCTTGTGGATATGGAAGATGGGTTGCTATGGTCAGGCTTTAGGTTAATTCAAAATCCAATGCTTATTTACAGCAGTTGTTGCAGAGTTAATCTAACAGCATAAATGCACCACCATGCATGTGATAAATCATGCAGTATATGTTCATGTGTGATCTCTTCTGAAACGGGCCTATAAATGGAAAAAGGGCAGGAAGCTCTCTAGAGGGGAATTAAAAAAGAGAACTACAATGTGCAGCGGATCCCGATCCTTCAGGGAACTCTTTGCACACTCTGCAGTGCATGCTGCTGCCTGAAGGTTACCCATTCGTCCAAGTTCTTCATTTTTAAAAATAAATTAAATTGTTTCTGGCTTCTTAATCTTCTTGTTCCCCATTTTGGGAAAACCTTCCTCCCCATATTGCGTTGTACTGTAAGATCAATGTAGTTGGTATTTTTTGACGTACCAGTGGGTCGAGTCAATTGTCTTTTCATCTTTTCGTGTTTCTCCTGCCTTTGCTACTGCTCGTGTTCTCTGAGGCTTGACAGGAGGCTGTGGTACACATTTGTTTCATCTGACCAGACGTTCATAGCACTGAAATTTATTTTAAGTAAACGAAAACAAAGATACAGGAAGCAAGGGAGGAGATTCTACCACCCAATGAATAATTAGTATTTGAAATATGATGTAATGGAGTCTCTATTGCATCACTCTAACATGCCACAGAAATAGGCTGCTTCTGTAAAAATGTAAAGAAAAGAAAAAGAAGGAATAAAGCCAGAATAACGAATGCAACTAGGGTACAGTTTTATTGAAGATTGCTTTCAGGTTTTCTATGGCACAGAATAGAGTAATTCATGGCAAATAGAGAAAAATCTATATTATTTTTTTTTTTTTACATTCTCATTCCCTGTGCATTGAACTGCAGCCTGCTTTCTTTCTTCCTGCTAATTATTCCAAATATGGGGTGCAAACTGTGCCTACAGAGCCTGTTCAACCCACAGCTATCTTATAAAAGCATAGTATTTCCAATAAATAATACACGGGAGCAATTTCAAGTCTGTTTAAGAAAGAATGAAAGAAAAGGAAGTAAAATCAGATGAGACGAGCTCTGAGTGAGTCTATTGCTGGAGCAGAAAGACCATACACTAAATAATTCACAAATTGTATTCAGAGACAAGGATAACCAGCTACATCTTAGGTAGGCAGAACAAATGTTCTTGCCTTGCATTTCATATGTCCGAATTCACAGAAGCAAAGCCAGTGGTTGTTAGTTCCATTTATAATTTCACAGAATTTCAGTCAATTTAAGTTTGCTGTTTGTTAGGTATGCATTCCCCTGTTTCCTAGATATTAATCACAAAGAGCAATAGTCAGGACTAGTTCTATAGGAGAAAACCTCCTCTCCTCTCCATACCCTAAATATTCCAGTAACAGGAATTTTGTACCAATCACAATATTCACTGTCAAAGCATTTTGCCCTAGCTCCATTGGGCACACACAGGAGGAAGAAAGAGACTTTAACCTGGAAGAAGGTAGATTTAGATAGGACACAAGAAAGAAATTTTTTATAATGAGGGTGGTGAGACGCTGGCACAGGCTGCCCAGAGAAGCTGTGGCTGCCCCCTCCCTGGAAGTGTTCAAAGTCAGGTTGGATGGGGCTTTGAGCACTCTGGTCTAGTGGAAGGTGTCCCTGCCCATGGCAGGGGGGTTGGAACGAGATGATCTTTAAGGTCCCTTCTGACCCAAACCATTCTATGGTTCTGTGACCTGCGGTAGGACATGAGACACAGGCTTTGGAGAACAAGCCGATAGTTGATGGTTGCCTAGAGAGACCACACCATCTCAGGGTTAGACCACAATGCTCTTGGCATGGCTCTCAAGACAGTCTTCATGGCTGTGATGCCATACACTGAAACAGGGTGAGCTCTGAAGCAGGCAGGTCTAATTCTAACCAGTTCACTGGAAATCAGTGTCAATCATGTAGCAAAGGTGCAGCTGAGCCCATCAGAAACACTTCTGGAGAAGGCAGTGCCCCTTATTACATGTTACCAAACTACCAGAAGTATCCCAAAAGCAAGGCAGAAACTTCCAAGCAAACTGTGCATCGATCCTTCCTTTTTATTAGTGCAAAACTCTTCCCATTAGCAGTCTCACAGGCATTGTGCAGCCACTGCTGCTCTGTCTCTTCTGTTAGACACGCAGTGACCTTTGCATCAGATGTAATTAGAGGCATGTGAAAGCTTATTCCCCCATGCCACCGAAACCAAAGGATTATCTTTACTAAAACTATAAATAGTTTTTAATCATAAATAGTTTTTGATCCAAAACTGATTGGTTTTTTGCAGATAACATGGGTATAATATGGGTCATTTCTAAATGACCTCACAAATCTTACCCAAATAATTTTCACAATATCTGCATCAGTGTCAGAGTGCTGAGGGCACTGAGGGGCCTCACCAGCTGCCCTGGGGGTGCCCCTGCCATGTCCCCAGGCAGTGTCCCCAGCAGTGATGCTGTGGATCTCAGGAGACAGGTGCTTTGCCCCAAGAACACCCCTCCGACAGGCATGGCCCGGAGAGCATCTCCCTGCCTAGTGGTGGAAAGAGCTGGGGTAAGGGTTTGGTCCAGCATCAAATATTTGGTCCATGTCACCTCTTTGGAAGGGAGCTCCAGGGGACACAACCCTCAGCAGAGACAGGAATAGCAGGAGTAAATCCATTCCTTACAGTGAGCGTTCGTCCTAATGGCATCTGCTTTGAGCAACAAGTAGATCCCAGTCCAGTGAAGGCAGAGCGTACCTCCCCATGCAGATTTGCTTGTGTCTCTGAGGAAAGCCACCAAAGCTGCCATTCACCCTGCCCTGCCAGTGTTTCCTGCAAGATCTCCTCACTATATTATATGTGGAAGGACCACCAACGGAGGGGATGTTCAGATTAGAAACTGTCAAGAAAGCCTGCTGAGAGCTGAAGGAGGGCCTGGACACAGGTGGATGTGTTGAGCTGGAGAGCCCACCTGTCTACCTGCTGGCAGTCATCTTGAAGGGGACCTCTTCCCAGTTTGGGCTGCGAGAGCTCCTTGCAGAGCTGCAGGGGACTTCTGGGTTTGACCTAGCCAGGACTCCAAGCTAAAGCCACAACAAAGACAAATGAGATGGTTCAGGCTTAGGGAAGTTTGGCCTTTTTCTTTTCTGCATCCTGGCCCATTCTTCTTGTTCTGCCCCTGGTTTCTGGTGTGCCCATAAAAAACTCACCTCACACTCTTCCTCAGGACTCTCCTGCTAACAGACTGATGCTGGTTTGCTTGGCACGTGGCTGGGAAGCTGCCTGTCCCATCAGGGTCAACGGGTAGCTGTGAGAGCCAGCAGCTGAAGACAAGTTGCTTCCTCCTGAGATGGAGTCTCAGAGGCTTGAAACTGGCTTAGTGTACTCTGAAAGCTACACAATATGGCCATAAGCTTTGATGTGCCTCAGAAAAACCTGCCTGCGGTGATGTCTCTTGACAACATATGATTACTCAAACTTGTTGACCGACTCCCAAAATTTCAGTG